TCTGAAACACTAGGAGCGAGTTGGTTGATAAGTTAAATGACAACACGATAAAACAAACTCTTTAGCTCTTTTTCTGAATTGTTATTTAATGTTAAAAATGTAGAACCTGATCTTTGTTATGCGTTGTCTCTTTTTCAAAAAAGAGAAACTTTTATTTAAATGTTACACGGTACCGTGTAACACGGCTTCTTATTTTGTTCTGTGGTTTACAATCCATTCGTATTTTTGTTTATTTTGATGCTCAGATTATTCCAGATTGACTTGTAGGAAAAAATATGTATGTCCCTATAGATATAGAGATGTATGTAGATCAGTATTTCTCAACCAAGGGGAAGTTTTCTCCCCCATGGGACATTTGGAAATGTCTAGAGTCGTTGTTCGTTACAGCTGTGGGTCAGAGGGGAAGGAGGGGACAATGCTACTGGCATCTAGTGGGTTGAGGCTAGAGATACTGCTAGACAACCTTAATGCACAGGACAGAAATATCCAACCCAAAATGTCAGTAGTGCTGAGGCTGAGAAACTTCGATGTGCATAGATGAAGGAATGATAAAGTACATGTCATGAAACATTGACATCAGGGTTAAGGGAATATGATAATTTTTATACTCTTTTGCAGTTTTTCTCTAAGTCTGAAATTGTTTAAAATTTAAAAAAAATTTAATGGGTACAGTTGGCAGTTTTGGTCTTAATTCCTTGACCTGTGGCCTCAAGAGAGAAAATGATTTGTCCTTGTTGCAAATGTAAGTCCAGGAATTGTTCTTGGTTCTTCAGTGAGCTTATGCCATGGTTCCTCTGGCAGTATTGTGAGCTCCTCTGGGTTAGAATTCCTGCCTTTTATTACTTTTATGCACATGTGTAATATAGTAACTAAGACGAGTTCAGGCTCTGAACACATAACTGCCTCTTCCACGTCTTACTAGTTGTGTGACCTTAGCCATATTATGAAATCTCTTTGTGCCTCAGCTTTCTCAACTATTAAATGGGGATAATAATAGCGCCTAGCTCATTAGGTTTAAATGAATTGATACATGTAAATTAATACAATAGCCCATATTAAGAGCGTAATAAAAGGTAGTATTCATTCACTCAGTCTTTCATCCAATAGTTTTAGAATTATTTCTGCCCTCCACCTACCCCTGTACAGTGCTCCCTAACCTTTGTATTAGAAAGGATAGTTGACATGTCCCAGCCAGCCAGATGTTCTTACAGCTGTTTCCGTTGGTGTCATCACCTTCATATTTAGATGTCTCTGGTTCTTGCTGTTTCCATTGATTGATTCAACTCAACAAACATTGAGAATCTTCATGCTTTGTGACAGGCACAGTAATTGGGACCAGGGGTGGATTATCCAATAGGCAAGGTAAGCATTGTGCTTACTTTGTTTACCAGATCATCTGTAGTGAACAATTTCACATTTTTTCACCACATCAAAGATTCTGCTTCTAGGTATGGCTGGGCATCTGTCCCAACTCTACAGCACCTTCCTACAGAATCAAAGCCTCTTTTCAAATTTACAATCCCTGACAGGGGTGGATGACCCAGTAAGCAAGGTAAGCATGGGCTTACTTGTGCTTAGTTACTAATCTATAGTGAACAGTTTCACTACAGATGATCTGGTAAGCAAGGTAAGCACTGTACTTACCTTGCCTTGTTGGATAATCCACCCCTGATTTGGACTCATATTTAATCATCTGTGTCTCTGTTCCTCTCCCATCTCATTCCATCCCATCCAGTTCTCTTCTCCCATTTATTGAGTGTTTCCAATGAGCCATGCACTGTAGGAAGAGCTTTATCTATATTATTTCATTTGCTTCTCATAAGAGCCCTGTGTGAGATAGAGGCCATTATTCTCCTCACTTTACAGTGGAGGAATCTGTGGTTTGGAGAGATTAGCTGATTTGTAGCATGCTTTCCCTTCACTTTTCCAATGACAGTGTGCTTTGAGGAAACCCTGGTGGTGTAATGGTTAAGTGCTACAGCTGCTAACCATAAAGGTTGGCAGTTCAAATCCACCAGGCACTCCTCAGAAACTCTATGGGGCAGTTCTACTCTGTCCTATAGGGTCTCTATGAGTCGGAATTGACTTGACAGCAACGGGTTTGATCGGGTTTTGGTTATGTGCTTTGAATTTGAGAGACCCTGGCTGTCCAACTGGAGGTAGAATACAGTCCAAGGAGTTGCTACCACTCTGCTGTTTCACTTCCTTGAAAATCACAGAAGCTAGAAGAGACCTGCACAGATGTGCATTTAGCATAGTACAAGGGGCTGGGCTAGGTGCTGGGGACATAAAAAATGGAAAAGACCTGGTCAGTGTTCTCCATTTGTTTACTGGCTCAGTTATCTTTTGCTGTGTGACAAAGCACCGCAAAACTCAGTGACTTACAACAACCATTTATTGTTTATCACGATTTTGTAGGTTGCCTGGGCTCCCTAGACGGTTCTTCTGCTCATGTAATATTATTTAAAGTTACTCATGTGGCTGCATTCAGCTGGAAGCTTGGCTTGGGGTAGACCAAGATGGCCTCACTTACATGTCTGACATTTGGTGCTGGCTGTTGGCTGGGCACCTTGGTATTCCTCCACCTGGGCTCTCATGCTCTAGGGCCTGCCACTGTGTGATCTCTCCAGTGGGATAGCCTGGACTTCTTTACGTGGTTGTTGGCTTCCAAGAGAGTGAAATGGATGCTACAAGACTTCTTAAGGGCTAGTTATAAAAGTCACACAGCATCACTGCTGCCACATTCTGTTGGCCAAAGCAAGTTACAGGACCAGCTTAGATTCAAGAGGTGAGGAAAGAGACTTCACCTCTTGATAACAAGGAATGACATAGGAGTACAGTGATGGGAGGGCTTGTAACCACATTCTGCCACATTCACTGACCATCTAGCTCCTTAGCCAGAAGCATACGGTTTTAGGGCTAGAAGACTTCTTATTTACCATCTGATTCAGTCCCCTTATTTCACAGATGCAGAAACTAAGCCTGAAAGGTCAAGCCACTGGTCCTAGCCCACTGTACTTAGTGGAGGAGCCAGGCTTAGAACCTGGGCTTCCCTAGTTGATGTTATCACCTTCATATTGAGATGTGTACTCAGCTTTTTCTCCAGCAGAGGATGTCTCTCTGCTGAGTTCTTCCCCTCTGACTCAAGGCTGTTCCTCACCCTTGGAGAACACAAGGGTACATTGATCAGGCACACTTCCTCAATATTGCCTCTCTGTAAGTTCTGAGTGCATGAAATAACACTAGGTTTTACCATATGAATAAAAAAAATCACTGCCCAAAGCACGTGGGATGTTATAAAATAAAATCTAGCACATTTATGTAATGTTGTAGTTTAGTATACTACAGTACATTTTCCTAATACCCGCAGACAATTACTGTGATATGAAACACGTTCCTTGTTTTGAAATGGAGCATGTGATCCATAAATTATTAATTTCTTCCAGTATAACCGCAAACCTGAAATTATGGCTTAATCAAGAGGTTCCATTTTCTCAGATCATGATAGTATTTTTGATATTTCCAGCCTGCTGAGTAGAGTACAGATACTTATTTAGTATAAAAGATAATTGTTCCATGAAGAAAACCAAAGACACAAGGAAAATATTAGTCCAAAGGACTAATGGACCGCAACTGCCAAAACCTTTGCCCGACTGGGCCCAGAACAACTAGATGGTGCCCAGATACACCACTAACTGCTCTGACAGGGATCACTATAGAGGGTTCTGGACAGAGGAGGAGAAAAATGTAGAACAGAATTCAAATTCACACACAAACATACAAAGACCAGACTTGCTGGTCTGACAGAGATTGGAGAAACCTCAAGAGTATGGCCTACAGGATACCCTTTTAACTCAGTACTGAAGTCAATCACAAGCTTCACCCTTCAGCCAAAGATTAGACAGGTCTATAGGGCCAACAATAACACACGTGAGGAACTTGCTTCATAGCACAATCATGTATACAAGACTAATGGGCACCCCAGCCCCAAAGCAAAGACAAGAAGGCAGGAAGGGACAGGAAAACTACGAATGGAAACAGGGAACCCAATGTGCAGAAGGGGAGAGTGGTGACATATCGGGGGTTTGCAAGCAATGTCACAAAACAATTTGTGTGTTAATTGTTTAATGAAAAACTAATTTGCTCTGTAAACTTTCACATAAAACACAATTTCAAAAAAAAGTAATTGTTCTTATCAAATACAGTTCTGGGATCCCACCCAGCCCTTGACTCTTATGGTGTGTCAAGGTAAATGGGGAGCGCAATTTGTAGATGTATGACTTATTGAAGACCATAAATTCCCAAAGAAGAACTAGTGGATAAGCTGTCCAGGAAAAATGCTCACTTAACTCCTACTATATTGAGTAGATGATAGACTGAATAAAACTTTTTAAAATTCTAATAACATTCACTTATTTTTATAAATTAAATAAGTAAAATTGTTTATTATGGAAAATTTAGAAAAGACATATGCAAACAAAGGAGAAAATACAGATAACCCATAATCCCACCTTTCAGTCAAAACCACTATTAACATTTTAATATATATAAATCAGATAAGTGAAGCAATAAAGCTATACACTGATGTACCCGTTGCCATCAAGTTGATTCCAACTCATAGTGACCTTATAGAGTAGAACTGCCCCATAGGGTTTCCAAGGCTGTAATCTTTACAGAAGCAGACTGCCACGTCTTTCTCCTGTGGAGTGACTGGTGGGTTTGAATAGCTGACCTTTTCATTGGCATCTGAGCACTTAACCACTGCGCCACCAGGGCTCCTTCATAGACTGATAGGGAGAGAGATATATACACATATATATAGAAATAGACATTTTTCTTTTTTAAATGATGGGATCATACGATAAAGTAATTTTGCAAACAGATTTTTTTACTTTTTTATTTTATTTTGTTTTCCTTAAATGTAATATAAACATTTTTCTATGTCATTAACTATTATTCTACCTTAAAGGTAAAGTAAAGCTTCCTCTCTTATTTGGCAGGACAGTGATATTGAAGCACTGGTCAAATGTTTGGAAAATGTCCTGAGTTGCACCTCTCTAGGTGAGTAACTTTCTTCAGATTCCAGAATATAGTGACACCTACTGATTTTATTAGAATACCCAAGAAGTAGAAAGTTTGAAAGGAATCTTACAGATATTTCAGTCCAACCTCCTTGTTTTACAGATGAAGAAACTGGGCCAGCAGAGAGGTTGATTGGCTCACCTAAGGGCCGGTAAACTCAAAGAAGAATTGTTTTTATTATTATTATTTTAATTAGGAAACTTATACGTGACCCTCAGTCTCCTAAGATGAAATAATTGAAATTTGGTGGCCCATTGTGATCAAATGGTGGCCTAGCAGTGCACAGCATCAGATTTTATAGGTTTCCCTGGAAGAGGAATCTCCCCACCCACTTGTTCTGTAGAAACAGATTGCGTTCAGCCGTGCTAAAAGGACCTTCGCTTTGAGGTTAGTCAGTTATTGGAAGAGTTTTGGTCTGAAAAACTAAGCTGAGATTTCTTTAGCATTGTCAGTCTCAATAAATGGGATTGATGTGTTTCAAGGATAAAACCCTATTTCTTAGCTGCTGCTTCTTTTTTTTTTTGAAATCTGAAAAGCCCAACTGCGATAGCTTCTAGCACCAGATGATAAATTGTCACACCTGACCTGACATGGATAGAATAGTGGAGGATATTGTCATGAGTCCTGGGTGAAAAGGGTAGAGATTTTTTTCTTTGAAACTTGATTGTGAGCTTTTTTATTTTTTAATTGCATGACCAAAAGCAATCTCTTCAAAGGGAATGGCAGGAATAAAGATGAACAATTAACCCAACATTTTCAGGTGTGTCAGCATTTTATTAGGGGCTGCGTAAACAATGTATAGCCTTTTCTTAGCTTATTCCACATCTCCATGAAGCTTAGTCATTATGTAGCTCCTGGGTTTTTCTCTCTGAACCACCATCTGATTGATTCAATTGCATATCAGTAACACTAATTAAACAAAAAACAACCCAAACCCGTTGTCGTTGAGTTGATTCCAACTCATAGCGACCCATAGGATGGAGTAGAACTGCCCCATAGGGTTTCCAAGGAGAGCCTGGTGGATTCAAACTGCCGACCTTTTGGTTAGCAGCTGTAGCTCTTAACCACTACGCCACACTAATTAGGTACATTTAACTCCCAAGTATGGATTTGGAAGATCAGAAAGGCTTTGCTTTGGTCAAGTCACTTCCCCCTCTGGACCTCAGGTGGACTGGATCAGTAAGTAGTTTTCAAACTAGGTTCCTTTGGGGCAGCATAAGGACAGAAGCATGTCTGCATTGCTCATCTCTGTTTCTCTGGTCTAACATAGTGTCTGGTGCAGAAGAGGTCCTTAACAGATGTTTAAGAATATTTTTAAGAGGAGTGAGATACAGACCCTGCTCCTGTACCAGCTTCAACCAAAATAGTTTCACTCATCTGTTTTAAAAATTGAATTCCTACGTAAGACTATGCCTTAAAAAAGAAAGATTCCACTGCAGGAAAAAAAAGTTAAATAACACCCAGTTGGATAGGTGATATTTAAATTCCCTTCTACACACACTGATTTTATAAAAAGGAACATTAGAAAAATGGAGTAAAAAGACATTTATCTCTGCCTGGAGCCCTACTGATGTGACAGAATAGGGATAAAGCTAATATAAACCTATAGGAACAAAAAGAATAGGAGAGGAAATGGGAGCAGATGAGAGCTGCTTGTGAACTTTAGAAGACAGAAAGCAGATGAGTGAGTGGTAACTGATTTAGGTAACAGGAGAGCTGAAAGCTAAATGCCTAAAGTATGTGGGGAGAGAGGAATGGTGAGGGGTAAGCCAAGAGAAGCAAGCCAGCTTACCCCACAGAATCTCAGAAAGGCTCAGGATTTAGAGCCCCCATTTGCCTCTGAAGACAGAATGTGGGTGGAGGTCCCCTTCCTCCACTGGTACAGCCAGGGAATTCCTCACCACAGTCAGAGCAAAAGACACTAGATTTGATTTTAGGGGACATTGACTCAGAGAGGCTCTGGATTTGGGGACACCGGGATCACCAAAGGGTAGAGTGATGTGATGGGAACAGAAGGATGGAGTGAAAGTCTGCATGTTTAACAATGAAATCCCCAGAAGCCATCCTCACTTGATTTCTGAAAGTATGGCAACAATGCATGGACCCCCATCCAGAGATTAGGAGATAGCTCTCTGGGAGCACTGACTGGCCTGAGAGGAAAATCCTAAGGATACTGACATTCCTCAAAAAAAAAAAAAGCAGGATGAGCCCTCCAAATTGACAATCCCTGAATCCACAGAAAGAACTTTAAATTGGCTTTTGATATTTCACCCTTAAATTTGAACAGACAGCCAGGTGTTAGCAGACATCTAGGGAAATCTAACAAGAAAGAGAAATCTAAACAAAAACACACAAAGAACGACTCAGGAAATAGGTAATATCAGGAAGTGAAAAAAGTTCAAAAAACTATTATGAAAATCCTAGAAGATTTCAGAGAAGATATTATCTCCATGAAACAAACAAACAAACAAAGGGATTTACAAAGAATAAGAGATCTTGAAATTATAATTTTGATAGCAGAAATAAAAAATTGAATAGAAAATCTGGAGATAAAGTTGAGAACAATTTCCAGAATATAAGTAATAAATTATAAGAACATCAAATGATTAATCCAGGTGGTTCAGCATGTAACTAATAGGAATTCCAGGGGAAAAGGAACAGAAAAACAAAGGAGAAGAAATTTATCAAAGAAACAAGAAAAAATTCTAGAGAGAATACAACAGGTCACGTAGTATAAGGAAAAAGAATGGTGTTTGATTTTTCAGCAACACTGAAAGCTAGAAGACAGTAAAGTTTGAACCCAGAATTGTGTATCTATCTGAACTATTAATCAAGTGTGAGAGAAGAATAAAGATGTTTTCAAAAATCCAGTCTCAAAAATAAGGTCTCAAAAATATCTATCTCCCATGACTTTTCTCAGGAAGCTCCTTGAGGATATGCTCCACCAAAACATGGGAGTAAACCAAGAAAGAAGACATAGCCTTCAGGTGATAGGGGATCTAACATAAGGGAAAGGTTAAGAGGATTCCCAGGATGATGGTAAAGGAGCAATCAATTCAGACTGGAGTAGATCACAGGGATTCAATGAGCACTGTATACCTCCCAAAGAGAAATGGAACTGATGGATTACCCATTGGGTTTGACCATAATGAGGGGAATTTTCAGTTCTTTTGGAGAGTTCAAGGATGAATTAGAAAGAGATAATCAGAAAACTAGGCAAAGTTAAAAAGAAGCAAGACAATTATTAGTCCTTGGAAAAACAAAAAGTTATAAAAGAAAGAAAATGTAATCTGGATACATTAAGGACTTAGCTGTATACAATATTTACATAGTCATAATAATTTAAACACTGAGTTATTTAACTAAAACTTATGATATCATTATATTTGAAAGATGGAGGGAGAGAAAGTATGTGTGAATGTGTGTGCATGTGTGTGTGTTTGTGTGTGTGTGTGAAAGAGAGGAAAGAGAGAGCTAAATCCACATCCTCCATAGTAGGAGGTCCAGGGATAATGTCTAAAATAGAAAATAAAAAAATAGTTGTATAAACATGTGATATAGAGAAAACAATGGTAAATATCAAAAGTTAGAGTTATGGTTGCTTTTGGGGAGTAGAACTTGGGAGTGAGGCAGAGAGCTGCTTTTTTATGTACATGAATTTTCATTAAAAGGTAATTACCAAAAAAAGAAAAAAAAAAAAAAAAAAGATGATATTGGAAAGCAAAGAGCCCAATTCTGTTCTCCATTATTTTACTGAGCCTAACATCAAGACTGGATTAAGACTTATGGAAACCCTGATATCTGAAAATATTATAGTAAACCCAAATGTAAATTAAAATAAAAACAATGACAAATTATAAAACAAAAAATTACATGTACACAGAAGTTAAAATAGCTTCTCTCTAGATTGTCTGATTGCAATAGTCTGAATATGTTCATCAAAGCTGGGTGTTTTTCAGTTTTGGATGCCTCTGTTCTGCTGGTGTCCTCATATCTATTGGGAGGATAGGACTTTTCAGTGCTGACTCCATGTCAACTGCTGAAGTGCTTGCTGCCTAAAACTGTACAAATTGGGAAGCCCCTTACCCCCTCCACTGCTTTTTATGACTGTGATGACCTCTTGTGGTGACCTCTTATGCTACCAGGGCAGCAGAGTCTAATTGGTGCTGCTGCTAAAATGGAAGGAGTCCTTTGATTATGGCTACAGACATTGAGGTGGTGGGAGAACATGCTTTAGAAATACCTGTCTCCACAGGGAATTCACAACAGAGCCCTCATTGCAGATGAGAACATTATTGCTTTCAGTCTCCAGACTCTTCCATACCATTACATAGAAGTCATAAACACAATCTCCTCATGTAGTCTGACAGGGGATGAGGGTATGAGATTGCCTTGCTCTAACTACATTTTAAAAACAGATTGCCATTGTGTCGATTCCAACTCATGGCGACCCCATTTGTTACAGAGTAAAGCTGCTCCATAGGATGTTCTTGGCTGTAATCTTTATGGGAGCAGATCGCTAGGCCTTTCTTCCATGGTGCCACCGAGGGGTTCAAATTGCCAACCTTTAGGTTAGTAGTTGAGCACAAACCATTTGTACCACCCAGAGACCTTAGCTACAGTAAGAGCTGAAAACGAGACCTGTTGCCTTCAAGTCGATTCTGACTCATGGCGACCCCACGTGTTACAGAGTAGAACTGCTCCATAGGGTTTTCCTGGCTGTAATCTTAATGGATTATGCCTGTTCCCAAGAAAGGTGATCCAACTGAATGCAGAAATTATCGAACAGTATCACTAACATCACACACAAGTAAAATTTTGCCAAAGATCATTCAAAGTGACTGTAGCAGTGTATCAACAGGGAACTGCCAGAAATTCAGGCCAGATTCAGAAGAGGACATGGAGTGAGGGATATCATTACTGATGTTGGATGGATCTTGGCTGAAAGCAGAGAATACCAGAAAGATGTTTACCTGTGT